TTTTCAGCTTAATCTAAAACATATTCAACCCACATCAACTCCATACACAAAGAACTTGAGAGATGACATGGTTTCCAATGGGGAACAAGTCACTTCTGCCCTGCAGGCAAGCAGCCTAGATAGAGGCTATAGCCACCACCAACTCAATCCCACTTCAGAAAGGCTGCTATCGCTCCAGGAAAGGAAGATGTAGGTGGAGATGAGATCTATTATTTTTAGCTTGGTGTCGAGTTTAAAGGAATTTCATGCTGTTCTTTTCTAAATTCAATTAAAACAGCAAAGCTGCTTTATTAAGCAGAGACTTATTCTAATTGAATGTCTCAGCTCATACTAAAACAAGGTATTCAACAGTCTGTAGTTATGGTGACCCTCATTCAACTGCAGCGTTAAAGTAGGCAAATAGCTGCCTGCTTGAGGTCAGTGGTTGTCTCCCAAGCTTCTGCACCTGCAGAATGTGCAGGCATCACCACGCTGCAGGGAACACAAACCTGGGGTTAAAAAAAAAAGCAAACCTATTCCATTAGGGGGCACCTTAAGTTTTCCTAAATCTTTCTGTTAGTCTGCACCAGAGCCCTTCCTTCCCCAGACCTCCATATCCTGATTTTATGTGAGATTATCATTCCACTTGAAACATGGGCATGCTTGACAAAACAGCATTTCATTAAAAAAAAAAAGGATATTTTTGGAATTTAGGAGAATAGCTCAAGCACCATACATGTGCTCATTTTTTAAGCCAGATGGGGACCGACTTTATGTTACAATAACAATTATAAATTCATAATTTACAAATTCCTGCAGAATTAAAATTGGCAAAACCACCCAATTTTGGCAAAATAATGATATGGCCTCTAGTGTGTGTGTAGACACAGGGAAGAGGGTATGTCAAAAACTGAGTTTGAAAATGGAGGGTAGAACTCACAGAAAATGCAGGTGCTTGGATGCAAGAAAAACTGGGGCATTCTGAACACAGCAAGGCTTTGGGAAGGGAAGTGGTAGGTGGACACAGTGCTGTGTTTATAGGAGGCAGCAGGGTAAAGTGATAGTACCATGATTTGACAGAGAAAGTAAAGAGATAGCAAAAACTTCTGCTGTATTCATATCTGAGTAGTTCTTCCAAAACAGCCTGAGATAGAGTGATATGAAAATACTGCTTTTCTTCTTGCTCATAGCTCCAAGAGTTAATTTTCAAGAAGGTTCCTTTCATTTCTGTCTCTTCTTCCTTTCTTGTTTGTACTCAAGTATCATTTCCATGCACACATAGAGATCCTCTTAAGAGTAGGCCCCTGGGGTAGGAGCTTTGTGAAACACAAAGATGAGTAACAGGGTGGACTTGCCTTCTGCAACGTTCTATCCAGTACACACAAACAATCAAACCACAATATGGAGCAAAGAGAAACAGGCACATTCCCTAGTAGGAATGGACCACAAAACTCATTAACACTCACTTCTACTCCTAGGACTTCTGAGCATCACTTTATTCTTCCTGCTCTCTGGGTTACAAGATTCTCAGAGAAAAATACACAATTTTACACTTGCCAACTTTCTGAACCATCTACCTAACCAATCTAACCATTTTATATATCTCTAGCACAAGAAATGTGTTTTCTTCCCAAAAATGCTGGCGAGATGCTCAAAATGCAGTTAATCAAGTCCTGACTGAGGTCCAAAGTCGGTAATTTGAGCTCATTAATTGGTGAAAATGAGGCATCAGACAGGTAACATTTTTCAGTTAAATGTTGAATTTTCGTAAATGAAATGAAGAAGTTATATTTCTGAAATTGCTAGAGAAAAAGTTATTCTCTATTACCTCAGTGCAAAATAAGGAGAGAAAAATATTTATTTCTCTATGACTATAGAAGGATTTATATTTGAATGTGAAAGAAAGGTGCCCTCATGTATTACATGGTCTTGGAAACATTTAGAAAATGAAAATTAAAGTTTAATACTTCAAATATCTGTCAAAAACGAATTATATGACAAAAAATACTCTCCTTCTTACAACTAAGCCTACGCCTTCAAATCATGAAAGCAAGCTGGATTTCATTCTGGTCTAATAACAACAGATGGCTTTTATATTAAGCAATTTGAATTATCTCACAGCAAACAGTATCCTATGAAACATTCTTGTTATGCCACCAACTGTAGGACTAAAAGACAACCAACACTTAACCTAGGCAAAAAAAATGAAAAAAAAAAAAAAAAAGATATTACTATATCCTCATAAAATAATTTTATGTATCAAACTAAGAGTTATAATATCATGAAAATTCCAAGTCTTTTCTGACTAAAATGATTTTATAATCTAATCTTTTCATTTTTGACTTGGCTTTTATATATCATAGAAGCCTCCATCTCACTGCCTAGACATTTTAGCCACCAGCTAATCCATGACGAGCTTAGAAACTAAGAAAGAATATTTTCTGAATGGTAGAAAAAAAGGGAGTATTTTTTAAATACTGGTAAATACCAGGGAAATTGGAGAATGCTTTAGTATCTGTTCTGGTAGCCTAAAATCATCACCTCAATAAGGGATACTCTTCAACTTGATGAAGAAGACATTGTGGGCCAAGACTTGAAAATCAACTGCCAGCCCCTGAAGATAGAAGCTATGCTACAAGATCTATTATGTGTTGGAAAAATAACTACAGATCTTTTATTCAAAAGCTGTTATTGAATATTTTGAGTAATATGACAACAAATGCAAAACTTTCAAAATGCTCAAAATACCATTCCCTAAAATATCAGGGCTTTATTTTCCCTTTTAATTCCTATGGTTTTTCCTTCCCACCTAAACCCCTGGAATAGCTTTGTCCTTGGCTTCTACCAGCCCCAACTCCTTCTGCTCTCCACATTTAACACGCATGTTGATTTTTTTTTTTTTTTGGCTTGTAAACCTGCAATAGCTACTCAATACGCACAAGAAAAGCTGGAATCCTCCTGGCTTGGCATTCAAGGTTCTGTGAAATTTGACCTCAGGCCACCTTTTCAAAATTTAATTTTTAAAATTGCATTATTTTTTATCAAAGTAATATTAGTTTCTAACACTGTGTATAGTTTAGGGGTATTGGTTATACCTTTCTGGGTATAAATTACAACCCTAAGCCCACCAAAAAAGCACCCATAATCCTCCATTATAGTCCATTGGACCCCTTCCCTTATTTGTTCCCTACCCTCTAGTAGCCTCGGTTCTAGTCAGATTTCTAGGCTTTGTTTTGCTTTAATTTTGTCTGTTTCTTTGTTATCCACACATGAATGGAATCATCTAGTATCTGTCTTTCTCCTAACTTATTTTGCTTAGCATAGTATATTCCAATTCTATCGGTTGTTGAAAATGGTAAGATTTCACCTTTTTTAATATCTGAGTAGTATTCCATTATATATATATATACACACACAAACACATATACATCCATATACATTTATCTCACACATTCTTTATCTACTCCTTGGGCCCTTGGATTGTTTCCATAGGTTGGTTATTGTAAATAGTGCTGCAATGAACACAGGAGTCTATTATCTCTTCAAATTAGTGTTTTGACATTATTAAGGATGTATATACCAAGGAGAGGGACTGGTATTTTTAATGTTTTGAGAAACCTCCACACCATTTTCCATAAATGGTAGTCTACATTTGCATAAATTGTGGACAAGGGTTCCTTTTTCACCACAACACCACCAACACTTGTTTCCAGTCTTTTTATCATGGGTGATTCTCACAGGAGTGAGATGGTATCTCATTGTGGTTTTGATTTACATTTTTTTCATGTGCTTGTTGGCCATCTACATGCCTTCTTGGGAGAGGTAGCTATTTAGATAATCTGCTCATTTTTCAATAGGGTTGTTCTCTTATTAAATTGTATGAGTTCTTTATAGATTTTGAATATCAGCCCCTTGTTGGAAATAATGATGTGCAAATATTTTCTCCCATTCAGTAGGGTGTATTTTCATTTCAAAGATCATTTCTTTTGCCTTACCAAGCTTGGTTTTTTAGTTTGGTGTAGTCCCATTCAATATGGAAGGCATTATTTGCCAAAATAAATCTAGATCAAGTATGCAAACTGTTTTCCACAGATGATCATCTCTTACTTGAGCTTTTATACAGCTCCCATCTTATACTTTTTTAAATATTTCATAATATATCTCGGTACATATGTATCTAATTTATTAAGTGATGTTTTAATAAGCATTACCTTCTTCAAATATCTAAAAAAAATCAGCCAATAATCACTTTGGTGGAAGGTAATGAGAAAAGAAGCAGAGAATTTTGACAGGGTCACCTGAAAAAAATCACCCCATATGAAAAAATACCAAGTTTTAGTCTCAGCAAATGTTGGCAGATATGACTAATCATCATCACATTAGGGAACTTCAGAAAGATGAGACTTTCCAATGGAGCAAGCTCAGGGATGGGATGAAATGTCTGTTTTGCATGTTCCTGGGTATTTTTTAGAACTCTGAAGGTTTATTTGTTTATGTTGAAGCTCAGTTTGCTTTTGGCTGTGTCAAAATGAGGCCCACAACAAAAGAGTTATGTCAAAGTGCCATGTAATTCTGGGAAGCTGGCCTGGTTTTAGTCACCTTATTTATTTGTAAAATATCTATCATCTGCATGTACAGAATAATCCAAAACATTTCCAATATGCCCTTTACCCAAGTAACATTTATTCTGACTGTCTCCTATAAATCTTTCCTAGAGTCACATCTATAGATCACAAAATAAAGACATTTAGCACCATTTAGCATTGTCAAACCAACTGCAGATTTTATCAACAGTACTTGAGAACACATTGCTACAAGGCACTTACATGCTAAAAATGATACCACTGTAAATCATTCAAATGTGCATTTAAATGTCATGTTAATAAATGCTACAAAGTCAGAATCTACCCTGAAACAAAACCTATGAGATAAATGGTATTTTTAATTAAATTATGTTTAAGTGATTTGTTTATATTACTGTGAGTATATTTGACAAATACAATAAAATTTAAAATTCCTACCTTGTGTCTGTTTCTTGTTCACAGCATTATCAGCTTTATGTCGTTTCTAAGGTTTAAAAGGAAAAACAAAAACTGTGAAAAGGTGAAATGTGATTAATTAAACAAAAAGGGCAACTAAAATGATACTTTTCTTTTAACAATGTTTCTCAAGGCTTTTATCCTTCCACACATACAGCAATGTCCTAAGTATGAGGGGTGTAGTGATCAAAAGACAGAGGTTATACAGGAATCTTAACATTGAAAGCGCTAGCCATGACATGTTTATATGGTATTCCTTTGCTGGGAGTGCTGGTGTGTGGTTGTAGGGCAGGATGGGCACAGACCAGGATATCTATGATCTGAGCAGACCAGGTAAAGGAGAGTCCTGGAGCCCTCCGTAGCTTTCTCAGGCTTTTATTGAGCTTTTACATGTAGTGCAGCAACCAGGTACATGGCAGGCAGGGATGCCAGGGGGCCAGGAGGCCGGCAGGCAAGCCCTCGGCAAGTCTTCACATTGGGCTTCTTTCTGGAGTTCTTTCTCCCCTTCTCTCTCCTGTCTCTTCTCTTGGTGAATATCTCCCAATACTGAGCCATGGCCCACAGAAGTAAACAACACAGCTTACAACAATGTAACAACTGCAGGTATCCCATCAGGCAGGGCAATCCTAATGGCAGAGGGCAGAAAAGCCTGAAAACCATTTATCCTACAGTGGTCCATGGAGGTGCTTACATTTTCGTGTAGGTAAGATTCAATTTTTAACATACTAGAAAAAGTTTGAGCTGAAAGGCTGATTTAGTCTTTTACTTAAATAACTCAGTTTAAAAAAGAAGACTGCCTAAGAGTATTACCTATAATAGCTACCATTAATAATATACTGAAATATTTTCAGCTCAAGAAATTCATTATCTAATTAAGGTGAATATATCCACTATGATTTAATGATGTGCTTTGTCAGTGACTAGAACCAAATACATCTACCATTTGCATAAAGCCAATTCTACCCACTGCTCTCCAACAGCCTCTCCTGTCCTCCACCAAGCCACTCAAGTTCATGATCCTATTTTCCTTCCTCAGAAAAAAAAAAAGTGCTGAAAAAAGTAAAGGGTAAACAGGTGAGTTAGTTTAAGTCTAGGTGCATGAGTTTGGAGAATCACATAAGCCAAGGTTTTAGAGCAATAAGAAAAAGAAATGGCAGCTTAGAGGAAAGGTGAGAATTTGAGTGGTCAGGGAAAGTGATCTACCTGAAGTTCAGTGAAAGGTTTTCCATGAACTCTGTCTAAACTTACAGCATCAGGTCTAACACATCAGCCTCTGCTAATGTCACAGAAAGTGTTGAGTGTAACTAACTCTGAGCTCAAAGAATCTAATCATATAAAGCCCGAAGTGAGATTGAAATATTCGTAGCTGAATGCAAGATGGGCTGGATCAAATGTAAAACAAATAAGTCCCTAGGTTTTCTAGTTGAGAAGAAACCTGGTTTTAGAATCACAGTGAACATATGAAAACACTCTTCAAGAGAAGAGCCTAGATTAGCACTCAAAGCCTTCGCGACTCTCCGGAGAAAAGGCTACAAGTGGCAGCGTGAACTCAGCTCAGCCACAAGATGCAAACAGCACATTCAAAATGCCTATGGAAGGTTTGTCGAAAATGATTCTTGCCACATCCATATGCAGGAATATACTAACTTCTTTCTTAGATATTCACTAATAAAAGTATAATAATGCTGACATTTTAATAGGCAGATTATGGCTTCTAAACGTGAGCACATGATTTGCCAGCAAATATTCATACATGAATTTTGAAAGTTCTGTTAAATGTGTAGGATCAGTAGAGAATATTTCATAATTGATAAAACTCCAAAATACTTTCTTTGTTTATTAATAAGGATCTTAAAAAAATTATAAAGTAACCCCAAATACATTTTAGTCTAACATAACAATGCAGGACAAATTTAGATTCTCAAAGGTACAAATATTTCCAAAACAAAGCGCATCTATGACAGACAATAGTTAGACTTCAACTACTGAAGGAGACCAATAAAGGCTAATTAATGATACATTCCACTTAAACAGGAAATTTAATCTTAGTGAAACCTAAGAAGATCCTGAACATTACTTTCCATCAACAGAGAATTCTTGCTCAGGTACATGCTCTCTTCCCTCAACCTTCCTACCACTGAATAAATTAGGTTACTTGTCAAGAAACATATACATAAAGATCCAGCCCCATAGGCCAATTCTAATTTCTGGACTACAAAAAAGCAAGCATCTTGGTGTCTTAAAGAGATCATTCTTTCTTCTAAAATTAAGAATACAGAAAAATTAATAGTTCTGAGTTCAAATAGCTCCACTGTCCTCTAATCATTTAATATCACTGAGAGCTAGTGAATTATTTAGTGTAATCTATATTTGATTGACAATACACCAATAACTACTGTATAAATAGTGTCATGAACTTTAGGAGACTTAAGTTAGCAATGCTGGCCACACAGCCCTGGGAACATTTCCCTCTCTGAGCATTTCTCATTACATCATTGCCCAGATTTTCCAGGTGCACCATGGCATCTTCTTTATTACTTCAGTTGTTATTACTCAGTGATGAAATTTCTTAAGTCTTAGTATCTGCTCCCTTTTGCTTCTCATTCCAGTCTCTTCCTGGTTCAGCTTCTTCATACCTTCAGTTTGATTTAACTAACACAAATATATACCAGATAAGACTCATCTGAACTTGTTATATCCAGTTGCTCCCTTGACATCTCCCTCTGGCACACCCTCCCAAAAGGCAACCTATGACATGAACACCTGAGACTTGTATCAGATATAGAACCATATACTGTTTATATAAACCAGGAAGTTGAGGTTGAGTCTTGCTTGTACCTTTCCCATCTCACTCCCATCCAATTCACATTATCACTCAATAAATGTTTGCTTAATTCTTAATAATGTGCCACACTCTGTTACTATTGCTGAGGATATAGCAATGAGCCAGAGACAAGAGCCAGCTCTTGTTATCGTGGAGCTTAAAATCTAGGGGCTGGAGATAGAATCTGAACAAAGTAAGTAGGGATGGTGATGTCTTATCAATTTGATTCCTGAATATATACTAGATTCACTTTTCCTTATTTCTTCATCTCTACCATGCCACTTAGCTGGAGATGTTTTCACTTTCTCATATCCATTATTAGAATATTCTAATTAGTCTACTCAAATCCTCTATGGTTTCCTTCCAACCCATTTTCTGTATTTTAGGATCTTTTGGATGATGATAATACAGTTAACATTTATTCAGCACTTAGTAGACACATGGCACCATTCTGAGGGCATCATGTATATCATTTAATTCTTATGGAAGTGGACTTGATTAATGTCCACTTCTACTGAACTGCAAAGCTCCATCACTCACTAGCATATTCCCAGAATTTGGTTTCTGAACATTGCAGACTTAAAATAAGTATCTGATTTATAATAGTTTACTAGTGTTTAAGTTATCAAGTTTATAGCAAAGAAAGCATGCATTTAGTAGTGAATATTAACAACCAACCTTGACCCTAACCATATAGTCAAAATTTGACAAGATGAGGCTTAACACTAAGTTCTCCATCAATTTCAGAGTACTTTCCAGTAAATATGTCATTTGTTACTTACATATAAATATAAGAAGGCTCATTATGTATGTTCTCCTGAGTAAATAGTGTTAAAATGCACTGGAGTGGGTATGTCAGATATCTCATCTGGCAACAATTCTAAGCTGTATTCTAAAACATTAAAAAGCTTATGAGAATATAGGAGGAGGTTTATGAGAATGCAAATTTTGTTTTTAGTCATTGATGTAAGAGTGCTGAACGTTACTATTCTTCACCAATACCCAGTTCTCTACTTTCACGGACAGGAAGGGTAGGTTTAGGGTTCAGAAGATTACACTTCCCTTTTGTCATGTCATTAGTTCTGATATTGGGCTGAAGGCAGATGTGAGGTGCACTATTTTTGGGTCAAAACATAGAAGTGAGATCACCATTCACTATTTTCTTTTTTTTTTTTTTTTTCTGATAACATGTTGTTTTATTTGTTTTTTTTTTTTTATAAATTTTATTGTTATATTGTATGGGGAATATAACCATTCACTATTTTCATCTACTCTTGTGGACCAGCATTCCACACCGCAGGGTCTTGATTCAGCCGCATTTCTAAGTGACTCAGGAATAACAGTGCCTTCTGCACCCAACCCCCACCAGATAACCTGCAGTGTTTTTGAAGACATACAAAAAACACATTTAAGCCACTGACATTTGGGACATGATTATTACAGCAACAAGTTTGTAACACATTGTAATAATGAATGCTTGGCACCTCCATACGCTTTATATATTTTTATTGATGAATATATCTGTTCATCATAACAACTGATACAAATGGTTTTGTCCACTTAGCTAAACTACTTGATTTTTTTCCTTTCTAGGGAGTAATATTTAAAACTTTCTCTCTTATGTTGATGTAAATTTCTTGTTAAGCCATTTTACAGACTACTTTTAGTCACTTTCTAAACACTGGTTTTACTGAAAAACAATTTCACATGGTATTATTATTACCTCGTAATATCATTATTACATGCTTCAGAAACTGCCAGATTACCTGCATTCTAATAGTACTCAATTATTAACTTATGCAAGTAAGAGTTTTGTTAAAAAAAAAAAAAACCCACTTCTTAGATACCATGTTATTTACCATATGTTTTCAAAGAGAGGGTACTAGAAGCTATAGCTAGAGAGTTTGCAGATTTCCTAGGAAAAGGAAAGAAAAGGAGAGGCAATTTAGAGCAGTGATTATAAGTAAGGGCTCTGGTGCAAACTTGCCCTGTTGGCCAGTTATTATTGTATGGTGTTGGGCAAGAGACCTTATCCCCTCTCCTTGCCTCTTCTCTCTCATCTGTAAAGAGGAAAACATCAACCCTTTAAAGGGCTGTTATAAAACTGAATGAAAAGGATATATAGCAAGTACATGGGACCCATAAACTCAGTAAATGTCATTATTTTTGGTGACCTGCTATCATAATCATAAGGAAGAGCACTGAATGGGATAGATTTCTGATTCCACTGGTTTCTTGGACAAGTTGCAAGACCCTTCCAAGTCTCAGCTTTCTTACCTTTAACATGAGGCAAATATCCAACTTTCAAAGTTATAAAAGGAATTAAATGAGAAAAACACTTGTAAAAACAATAGCACAATGCCACTAAATATCAAATGCTCAATGAAAATTGGGTGAAACAAAGGGAAAAAAGGTAGTACATGAAGCAAAGAGAGACAAAACTATAGTATAGACCAAACTTCACAGACTGCCAAGTCCAGCCATAATTAAAAGGGTGGTTGAGTCTGTGTGCAGCAGGATAAGTGAGATGAGAATCTTTCTAAATCCCCGCTGGAGGCCAAAACATGTCACTTCCAATCAAGGTAGTGATATTTCACAGATACACCCTCCTGTGTCTACTCTAAGACACTTGGGTGTTTTTGAGATTACTGATCTAAATGGTCAGTTGACCCATTTCTAATGGGTCTAGTGATGCTATGGCTCACGTGTTTCTAACAAGATCCCAATGTGAATCTTCACAGAAATAATATTGACGTTTGTGCAACTTTACACTGGACCTTTCTAAATGTCTCAGCCTTTCCTTGCATTGCCATATGACTTGCCTAAGGCTTGATAGAAGGTCACTTCAGACAATGAAAGTATTTGAAGGGAATAGGAAAAAAAACAACAGCATTTACTCTCTCAACTAAGGTAGTTAAAATAGTGGTAAAATTGAGGAGGGGGAGAAAGCCTGAAATTTGGGGGGCATTTACGAAGGGGGAACTGACTTTGTCTTTTCTCTACTACTATAGAATAATAAAAGTAGCAAATTTCACTGGAATTTTCTTTTAATAAAATAAAACTTAGAACTACTAAAATAAGATGAAAAGCAATCAAAGGTATTTAATAAGGTAAAAACTATAGTATATAAGTTAGAAAATAAAAACTACAACCCCCTCTTTATAGGCAGATAATTTGAGAGTTACTGAGTTTAATTAGACATAATTTTTAAATAAAAAAAACATTAATGTAATATATACACAAGCTAATTCTCAGTGATGAACACCTGAAACTTATATAATGTTATAATTCAATGTTACTTCAATAAAAAATAAAATAATTTAAAAATTAGGCATAATTGGAAATAATGTTCAAATAGTTTTCAATTACTACATTCAAATTAATTTCATTAAGCTACAAAAATAAAGAACATTATAAAAAGCATTTTAATTTAAAATTTTATTCCTATAGAAATTAATAGGAATTAGTTCCAGGGTTGGAGGCAAATTCTGTACACTTTTCAGCTGAATGGATAAATTAAATAATCTGCACCAAGAATTAAATAAGAGGAAACTCATTTTAAAATATACATAGAAAAATAACAGTAACATTTATGAAAAAAAGGAAACACTTACAATATCTTCTATTATCTCTTTGATGGCTGCCACAGCTAAAATAAATAACAGAGGAACCAGTGTTGTGTAGCGGCCTGTTGGTGATACATCAGGTATTTGCTATTGGGGGGGTTGGGTGGGAGGAAGAAGAGACATCCTGTGAGACAAGCAAGTTTATAATAGATTTAAAAACAACAAAGTTTTAGTGCCTCCTAAAATCAGCCTCATTTATCTTACTATCTTGGCAGACTAACACTGGGTGAGGCATTTTGTGTCTGATAAGTAGCTGGACAAGCATGTTAATTAGCTTCATAGCAAGTAGTTGTGTGTAGGCTGAACACCTACAAAAGGGGATTGGGTCGATCAATTACAGTACATTCATATACCAAAATATCATACCACCATTAAAAAATGAAGTTTTAGAAACACAGCAAATCACACAGGATAATATCCAGCCATTATCATATAAAGAATACAGGTTGTAAAACAATATATATCTTATGATCCCCTTTTTGTAAACTAAATTGATACATAGTGCTTAGGAGGGGAAAAAAAGAAATAAAGACCAGAGGGATGTACACCCAAATTTTAAGAGTAGTTGCCTTTGGAGGGGTGGAATAATGAAAGTTATTTTTTCCCTCTTACTGTGTTTTGTCTTTTTACAATGAATGTATTACATTTTAATAAAATGAAATCATTTTCTTCTGACTACAACAAACTCAAATACAAAGAGAAACAAGATTTAAAATGGCAATTCTTGTACTCTAAGGTTCAGAACTAACAGTAAGGTTCAGAACAGTAATTTAATTTACTGTTACTAAAATAAATTAATATTCTATGAAAAGTCCCATCCCCCCACCATCCAAAATTTATAGAACCTTTAAAATAAATGGATAAAAATGAATCCAAATGCTTTTAGAAGTAGAATTCTGATTACTACTTGCAGCAAGGCTGGAAATGCCACCAAAATCAGCTTATCTCTCTATATTTAGGTAAGCTGTAGAATATTGTTCATGAGTTTAACAAAAACATTTATTAATATCTGAACTCTGACTTTGAACCAAGATTTTATGACAAGACTTTACCTGAAGCAGTGCAATAAAGAGGAAAAATGAATTAGCAGCTCTTCTGAACTGAGAGTAGAGAAATCTTGGGAGGAATGTAATTATGTTGTATTTTGCAGTGCTAGAAGACAAAAATGAAAAGTAGCATAAAACTTAATTACTCCATGTTTATGAAATTCTATTATCACCATATTAAAAAATTAGATGATGAATATTTGCTCACTCTTTCCAATTGGGAGACTATTGCAAATGGTCATTAACCGAAATGAAAAGAAATGAAAGGAACAGCCCAAATAAATAGTAAGAGTTTAATTTTCTGTGCACTATCTTTTCTTTTCTTTTGCCAAACATCCTGCTTAAGATATCTAGGAGCCAAATTACATCCATTGTAGTAAAGTAAGATATGTTAATAGGCAATAAAATCTTGCAAAAGAAAAAAATAAACTTCAGCAAACTGAACAGGACCAGACACTAGAGTATCCTTCATTGGACAAATTTAGAGACAGAGGGATTTTTCAGGGATTTTTTTCTTTCTAAATTTCTTTTGTGGTCCCTCTAACAGTCTACACTAAGCACATTAGTTATATCTTCAATCAGTAAGATACTGCCATTTTGGAAACAACTAATCTTGTTTATTATGTAAAAAGGCAATTAGGGAGACACATGATATACCTTGATGCCACCCCTACTTTTAAAATTTGAAGTTGCAAAATCTTAGTTTTAAAAAGACATTTCTCAAATCTAGGAATTTTACCACTGCAGAAACATTGGGCTGGCATGGGATGGGTGTTCACTTGATTCCAGAGACCACTTAGTGAAAAACACTTACACCAACACTTTACTGTTACTGCTCGAATGAAAAATTAACAGTGAAGTAATTTTCACCACTCTCCATTCCCAAGATCATACTAAATTTTATAGCTATCAAAAACTAACACTTCAAGACTGTTTAACCAAAATGAGTTCTTGGTGGGAAGTGCTGCAAAGACTTCTAAAATATTAAAACTTGATATCCAAAAATAACAATTCATCATTCTATTAGCAGGGTTAAGACAAAGGCGTTTACCAAAGAACAGCTTTCATTATTCAGACACTATATATAGAACAGGTAGTGCACGGCTGCTTATCCTTCCTGCTTCCACATTCTTATTAAAACTCCTTACTGGATAGAAGATGGAGAAACACTGAATTCAAACAACCTCCAGTAAGCTCTCCAATATTAATGGGTTTAACTGCAAGCTCTTTGCAAGCATTTGTGGGGAGATGGCCTGTGGGGTGCAGCAGTTATAGCAGGTCCCCTGGCTTTCTTTGATATTTCCTACCTGACATGGTTATTGCAGAATTTTGTCAGCTGTGGCTGGTTGATAAATATAGTCCGCACTTCCTCTTGATCAGCCAGTGAAGTCTTCTCTGAAACATCATCTGTTTTCTCATAACCTTAAAGACAACGATAAGAAATGTCTCATTATCCAGACCAAAAATACATTTCATAAGAATTCTAGAACGTAAAATTTGTTAAAAGTTACATGTTTCCCTCTTATTGGTCTTCTTACTTTCTTTGTAATGATAAGAAAAATACCCACATCGAATATGCCTACTAAATTTAAAAGGTAGCATTTTATAGTCATATAAAACCTACGTACTACAAAAACAGTAACATTTTTTAAGTTTTTAAACTCATATTTAAATGAGTTTTAAAAATTAATTTTTTAAATTCATTTTTCCCCATAAACGTTCAACTTAATTGCTTTCATTACATATGTCCAAAAGTAACAAGGCATTTAAATTGGTTTATATTAGTTTTATAAAAGATTAATGGGACAGAATTTTAAATATATTTTTATAATGTAAGCATACACATTTAATGCTTTTCTGCTTTTGTTTCATTTTGTTTTCCTTTTAGGATAAAGACAGAATAAAAAGAAACATTAAACTTTAAATAGGCAATCACAATTATCTAATTCACTATCATTATCTTAATCTTTCTGCTAAATAGAATTTATGTTCACAGAGAAATTTTAAATTTCTCAGGATCATTTCATGTTATCTTACAATTGTTGTAACAAGGCAACCAGCTGAAGCAGTTCAACTGGATAACACCTTGTTGAAATGTTAACAAAACTTTTAAAAAATACACACAGGTTCTAGAAGAACAGAAAAATAATTAACTGCTTATTTTACCTTCTTGTGAGAATTAAATGAGACTGGATTAAATCAGACCCTTATTCCTTTCTTGGAAAGGATCACCATATTCATTTTCTCCTCTTTTCTGCCTAGTCAGTGCCAGCTTCTCCCCAAAGATCAGTAGACATGGGGTTTCTTCTGAAGTATTCTATGTTATTAAAGTCAGAGCACCTTCTCTGTGTGCCCACAGCCCTCTACATCTCCCCTGTTCCCGGAAAAACACTTACCAGTTTTCCTTACTGCCTGCTTCTGAGTCAGCCTACCCCCAAGGGAATGTAGACTCCCTGAGGCTGTGGATGGTGCGTTACTCATCTTCCTAACACTAGTACCAACACACAACAGGCACTCAATAAATGTTTGTGAGTAAAGAAAAAGAAAATGACAAAGGCGTGGTTATCTGGCAGTTTTTTTTTTCCCCTGAGGGCAAGGAACAGCTACTCCATCCACTGATAAAGGCACTAAGGCAGGCAAGGGCTGGTAACACGTGTATAAGAAAAGGTGCCTGTGGGGGTTCTGTTGCTTGATGAAACCAGAGAGTTCTTCAGGTTTTCTTTTTCTTTTCTTTTTTTACAACCATTATGAATTTATGGGGGTGAATTTACTTTATAAAATATAAGCCTACAGTTCAACTGGAAGCAAGTGGTAGCGGGTCAGGAACCTCTTGGTAAGGCTCTGGAGACATGCAGGACCATGTCCAGAAACATGGGGAGGGACCATGGGGATGCAGCAAGTGCAGGGAGTGCAGATGGGGACACTGCTGAACCACAGACAAAGGGCAGCGGGCAAGCAGGAGAGAGAGGATGCTGAAAACCTACACAAGCCGGATCTTGGGAAGAAGTCTGAATGACAACCTTTGGTGGCAGAGCCACTGCAAGCTTTCCAGGGTCAGGAGCACATTTTATACATTTACACATCACTCTGGAGGTCGCATGCTGTGAATGAAACATTGTCATACTGCACAGGTTTAGATTGATAGCAGCTTTGCCTGTGCTCCCATGGTTTATAATGATCATTCACTACACTATATTTTAGATACAAGTTTTCCCCCTGGTGTCACATAATCAAAACCTTACTTACGGATTGCTAGAGATGGAATGTTTTTGTTCCCTCCAAAATTCACAAATTGAAACCCTAGCCCTGAGGGGATGGCATTAAAGAGGTGAAGTTCTGGGAGGTGATGAGGTCATGAAGGTAGCTCCCTCGGGGGAAAAAAACCAGTGGTTTTGTCAGACCCAAGACGTCCTCTCCCCTTTCATACAGGGAGAAGATGTTAGGGGCAAAGGATGTCCCGTGCTAACTCCATACAGGCTTTGTGGACTCCATCCCCACGACACTGGAAACTACAAATCCCATGATCACCAAAGAGAAGGCTGCGAGGACCTGAGGGTGGAGTTAAGCAACAAGGCTCTCAGTTTGAGTATTTAACTGGCCGAGTGGCCGGGGGTCGTCCTCTTGGCCACGATGCATGGTTTTTCACCAGCTCGGCAGGTCATTGGGATTCCAGGTCAGCGGAATGGGTAGGACGCATTTACGAACTTATGTCCCTCTTTTCTCCCTGAGTTATTCATTTCCCTATTCCCTTTCCCCTTGTAAATAAACCTTTTATCAACTTTTTGTGTATGTCTGCAGTTTAGCCTAAGTCCCCTTTAAGAATTCAGGTGAGGACCCACAGTCAGGCAACCCCATTTTATATTGGGGTTTGCCCTGTAGCAAAGACAGTCATCTACAATCCAGGAAGCCAACTCTTACCAGACACTGAATCCACTGGCACTTTGATCTTGGATTCCCAGGCTCCAGAATTGTGAGAAACACGTTTCTGTTGTTCATCTAGTATTTTATTATGGAAGTCCAAATAGACTAAGATATGAATTATCAAAAAGAGATATCAACCTTATAAGTTCTTAAAAATATTAAGTTTTCCTTAATGACAGCACAAAGGCCATAATGCACTGTACAAAGAGCTTCTGTACAAAGAGCTGTACCAGCTTCCCCTCTGCTCTGAATTCCTATCTCAAATTGAACTAACCTTATTTCACTGGACTTTTGGAAGCCTGATCCTTGTATGTTCTTAGCTGAGGACTTAGTGTCACACTACACTGGACAAATCTATTTAAGGTGAAATCTCAAATGCTTCCAGGTGTCACTGTACATCCTCAAACATTAATTTGTTTTCAAGAATCCCATAGGGCAAAAGACCCGCCTGCAATGAAAGGATTGGAATCAACTCCTTCTCGTAAATGGGAATCAGAGTAATAAAAAACAATCCTAATGGACTAGTAGGATGCCAAATCATGGTCTGATAATAAAGGGCCTCTAAAGAAAAACAACTCACCAAAATGAGACAGAAATTTGAAGAATGATCACTTTTTTAGGGCAGCCATTAAAGGGGCTGAATGGTTTTAGGCAGAGAATTCTGCTAATGCCTCATTCCTCCATCACACAGATGGCATGGATGAGCCTTGGTAAGATGGTGGTAAAGCTGAATTTACAGAGCAGCACCCTGTGGGCTCAGGCAATGAGGTGTCTTGAGCAAGTAGATGCTGAAGGATGGACAGAGCTTTGTGCCAAAAGCAGGGAGTGAGGTACTCAGTCAATATGAGCTGGTGGTCCTCATGTGTTCTCAGGGTTCCAGAGAGCTCAGCCACACAGGCCCACCTGCAGCAATGATGCAGAGACCCCATAGACACCTGAGGCCCACTCCTGGGAGTTATGAAGGCTGAAGGCTGCAGATAATGTCTGTGTGATGCACCGGGTGTCTGGTTTACTCTCAGTAGGTGACCCTAGCCACCTCAGAGGTACTCAGTAACATCTGAGTGAATGCACCCAACCTCAAAGTCCTCAGGGATATTCTGTGAAGACATCTGGGAAAAGACTGGCAATTCTTACTAATTTGGAATGTCAGAGTTTGTACCTATTGTCATGAGGATCTTCAACAAGCTCTTTTACTATAGAAACAGGTTGGGTTCTGACATATGGGTAACAGTCTACACTCCCTCTGGTAAAAAAACAAGAATCTGCTGTTGGAATTAATGAACCAGCACTCCAAGGGAGGTGGGGGGCACCTTTGACCTCAAATTCTGTGCTACAGATGAAAACTTGTAACATGCATTCAACAACTACCAAAATGCACTGGATAAGTTTATTTTTATTCTTAATTTTTTTTTTCTTTTGTAAAATGCCATCTAAAATGCCAACAGCTGTGGTGATTATATAAAGAGCTCTGGCTCATCCCTGGGCAATGTCTTCTGTGAGATAGTGAGGCCCAGCGGTGGCAAAGGTTATCAGTGGGAGAATTTCCCACCAATCTGATCCAAAGAAGATCAAATGAGAATGGCACAGAGGCCATGCCTTCCCAGAATGTCCCTAGTTTTAAGAAGCAACGTCTCTTGGCATTTGTTTAATATTTAGAGGGTTTGCTCATATGAGTCATAAAAATCCACTAGTAGCTTTTAATCTACCTGTCTTGACTACCAAGAACTAAGCCTGCCAGTGTGCCGTCCCCTCATAGAATGCATAGGGGAGGACAGGAAGGCCACAAATCTGTTAATAGTTTTCATGGTTTTTCCCCAAAAGGCAGGCCTTTCAGAGCCTTCTTTGTCCTTAAAGTCCTGCAAAAGGGGAAGTTTCCCAAGAGAAAGAACACATCTTTATCACACTCTTCAGTAACTCCTTCAGTTTTTCCTAGCTCAATCTTGCACAAAGAAGGCATGCCAAGCTCACACATTTAATGGAAGTAGACCCCAGGTAGTTCAACTGACTGTTTTGCTGATTCCTTCAGTGATCCATTCTCTCTGGATCATTATTGAGGTGGTCCAGAGTGAATTCTGAAGTCCACCAGGGAATAATACTTTCAAACCCCACATCAAGTAAACTCATGTGGATGGTGTACAGTCAGTGGCAAAGCCAAGAACAAAATGTGATCTTAGGCAGTCTCATCAGGTTTTAGAAATAGTGTATGGACTAGCTGGTATTAAATGAAAGAAATCACGCAAAGTACTAAACAAATACCTAATATGTAAGTACAGGATAAATACAATTTATTATGCTTAAAAAGATAGTAGGAGTGAAAAATGGTAAATTCATAAGCTGAGCTGCATAAAATTGACAGACTGTCATACCGCCTTCTAGGTAATATTCAGAGTGGTAATTCTTCACCCTGTAATTGCCAGTTTACCTGTTTCCCCTATTATACCAACTGTCACCTGACTATCAGACCTCTGCTTCACAGCAAGCACTCACCCTCTGATGAGTTC